TATCTGAAAAAGTGCGAATAATTTTTTGCTGGAAAATAAAATTGCTAAAATAAATTAAGTTGTTATATAATTGAAACTTGTTATACCCTGATTTGAGATAAATTCATCGTTGACTATTAATTTCGGAGAAATAATTAACTTTAATTTGTTTATTTCCAAAATGTGAAAAAGCAATAATATATATATAGAATCACACAAATTCAAGAAATATCTAAAAAATTTTACAAAGTAACTAAGTTTTGGAAATATAATAAGAAACACAATTAATAATGATAATTATACGATACAATTGTAATACAATATTTATAATATGACGTGTGGAGAAATAATGTTGATTTAACGCGATTAAAAAATTTTATTCAAAACGGTGATTATTAAAAAAAAAAAGTAAATAAAGATAAGATATAAATTTGATAAACTAAAATCAGCTCTTGAAAAAGTTGAATCTTAATTTTTTCAACTTTTACTTCGAGACTTTATATTCTCGAGCGATCAATTTCTCAAGATTTCAAAAGAGTAGAGTATTTTTAAACTCCCTATCGTCCTTCAATCGTTGCCCCCAATTAAAAATCGAGTTTGGATCCCATTATCTATCTCCCACCCCTCGCCCCCTTTCTCCCGAGCGAGAAGATAATGAAATCTCCATGCGAATTTTAGAGCACCGTAATGGTCATATCCGCGCCGCGAGCGCGATCGCTGTCGGAAAGTAAGGTATCAAAAGGGCGACGCACGCGGACGGAATAATAGTGAGCGCGCTAGTCTCCTCGAGCGCACCAGCTCCGGATCTCTCGAGTAGGTTGTCAGAAGCCCCCGGGGCACAGTTGCACCATCTCCGGACGGAGTTAGACCCCCTTGGGCGAATCGGCGGCCTTATTTACCCTTCCACCACGCGCGGGGCCCGGGCGGCCCACACATGTGCGTCCGCGTGCGTCAATTAAAAACGTCGCCGCGGCTAACTAAGCCAAAGTTCACGATCCTTTCACGAGAGGCACCGATCGACAGCGGAAAACGCGATCGAGCGTGGGGAAAAAAAAAAGTCGGCACTCGATTTAAGATGACAATTTACAAAGACAACGAGGGGGGAGAATTAAATTTGCGCCGATCGGCGCGTTAAGATCACCGCGATTAGATGATGCTAAATGCATTTGAGAAAAAATACATTCTCTGCTCATAGCTCGCTAAGATTATCGATCAGTTCATATATCGCTTATATAATTGTTTATCTCATTGATTTTGATCTTGATGTCACTTACATATAAATTGTACGAGATGTATAATTTTTCAATTTCTTGTTTCTCCCCGAAGAAAAAACACCGTCAAATTAAGGAGCTAACGTTAAAGCTTGGTGAGGTTTATTAATGCCAGCGCTAATTATAACAATTATTTTACTCTTTTACTTTCGTTTTCGCACACAACCGCGAACGAAGCCTCGGGTCGAGACGGCAATTTATCCCGGGCTTCCCACGCCGCCCGACCGCAATTCGCGTCAGCGAAAATATTCGAGCCAGTTAACGAGGTGACCATTCATCTCCTCCGTGATCGCGTCGCGTGGATTCTGATTGATACAAAGGAGGCCGCACGAGTGCTCTTCACAAATCGGCCGGCCGTTCGCCGAAAGTTCGCGTGTCGACAGAGGCAGCGCGCGCGAGCTATAAACTGTTTCGAGGACGAGGTCAGTGCGCGAATTCGAAAGGACGAGCCGCGCGAGCGCGATTTAAGGATGATTCCTCTCACCCCGTTCCTTCTCGTCTATTTATCCGTCTCTCAATGAACGGCCAGGCGCGGCGGCGATCCGTTCTTCGTCCGTGCAATCGCATATCGAGAGTGCACTCGTATAGCAGAAGTGCGCGGAATTTGTGAGAAACTTGTTGCGAAAATTTGCCTCTGGACGCTTCTGAAGACCCTCTGGCATTTTCACGCACAATGAGTAAAAGTAGAAAAAAAAGTTTCGCTAATTTTTCTCGATTAATTCTGTTTCAATTATATAACACATTATTCATTCAAAAAATTATTGTCTCATGTTTAATTATTAATTTCTTCTTTCTTTTATCTTTCCAATATTACATGATACTATTTCAAATTTTCCTGTATTTTTCTTTGTTATTACATGTACATAACATGTTTTTCTCTCTTTACTTTTTCTTCTCTTTCAATTCGCAATACGAGATTTATAATGATAAAATAATTAAATCGTGACAGAACAATTGACGCGATGTACAAAACGCCGAGCGCATAAATCTACAGGAAATTGCAGCCGAGAAAAACGCATCTCGAATAATGATTTCACAATTTTCTAATGAGGCATTTCAAACGATCGCTACCGATAAGAATTAATCATCCGCGAGAATCGTGATACATGATCTTACGTGGCGGAACGAGCGTATATACTCCGCGGTACCCGCGATCTCGGTCTTCCTATCACGATCGAAACGCGATTATTGAAGATTACCTCGTTCTACCGGTGACTATCTTATCTCCACTCCTCTTTAAACTCTTTGCGGTACGGTGGTTTCGAGATTTGAGATCGCGCACACCTCACGCTTTACATAAGCAGATTAGCGCGAGAATGACCGTTCTGAAACACCGCACGCGAGATTCTTTTAAAAGGAAAATTCGCGATCGAGCAATGTTAATTCACAATTTCAGTTTTGTTTCGTCTTCCTCTTTTCTCAACAATTTAGGCTTGTTTTTTTTAGCTGAACTGGCTGCACTAGTTTAAAGTTTACCTTTCTTCTTCAAATGTAGAAAGAGAAAGATAAACTGTGAACTAGTGCAGTCAGTTCAGCTAAAAAAAGAACAGATTAGACCTTTTATTTTTCGTATTCATTCAAAAGATTGTCTTATGTTTAATTATTAATTTCTTCTTTCTTTATTTTTTAAATATTACTATATTTGACATTTTTCTGTATTTTTCTTTGTTATTACGTGTGTTTTTTTTCTTTACTTTTTTTCTCTTTTGATTCGTAATATGAGATTTATATTGATAAAAGAATTAAAACACGACAGAATAATTATCGACATGATGTACAAAACGCCGAGCGCATAAATCTATAGAAAATCGTAACCTAGAAAAACGGCCCTCCAATGATTTCGTAATTTTCTAATGAGGCATTTCAACCGATATATTATTTAAAGTGTATACCTAAATTAATAAAAGAAAAACCACACCGTAAAATGCGGTGTATTGAATCTTTTAATCTAAAATTTAATTTAAAAGGGTCAATTCACGGAACAAGAATAAAAGTGCAGATTAGACGAGTCGTAAAATTTAAGCGAGGTGAATGGAATGGACTTTTGGACTGTTCGAAATACAGTGTGTTCAAAAAAAGCACGCGCGCATTGACATGTATGTACATATTTTAAATATTATACATTGAGAAAGATAAGACAAAATGAAATCTAGAGAAATTTTATTTCGGCCATCAATAATCGTTTCTTTTCTGCACACATTTTATTAAATAGGGAGACAAAAAGGCGAGTCACCGTTTGTTATTTATGTAAAATATAAGAAGCATTAACAACTAATAACATTAACAATTTCTCCAGAATTCATACGTTACAGACGTTCCGCACATACATGATCCTTTTTAAGAAGCGCGTTTAGCGAACAACATGCGAAACGTAATTATGATCGATACGGCTCGTTTGGCGGCGCGAAAAGCAGGTTCGCGCGAGAGTACGCTTTGCGGAAAAAAAAGAAAAGGTTAAAACAGCCACGAGATATGTTAATTAATTAATCGTGACGTAAAGCGAGATGACGACGCGCGTTTGTTTCTCATACGCGCGTGTCTCCGTTAAATGCAAATTTCCGAGGCGGACGATTGAAATGTCGTCGTGGATCATAGTGCTAATACTTTTTTTCGGCATTTTTAGAATCCCCCTGTATATGCGCGGAGTCCTTTAGTTCGCGAACTTTGTTTTTTTTTTACAAAAAATTTACGTTTTTTCTGATTTGAATACTCAAATATGTTTTTCACAAATTATGTTTTTGCGAATTAATTAAAGTGTCCAGATTATAATTAATGGAAAGATGTTTTGCTTTGTGCATCACAGCTTAAGAGAGACACCAGTTATTATAGCCAACACAATTATTTTTAGATTGCATTAAAACAAGTTTTATGCATTATGCAGAATCTACACTAATTTTCGAAATGTGACGTTATACGATGAGCTTCCACTGTCAAATTTAACTGTCTAAATATATTTTGATGTAGTAAAAAGTTTATGCATAAAGAAATTATTAAATTAATTATATTAAACGATAAAAATTTTAAATCATGTATATTTTTTTGTACAAATCATAAAATAAAAATAGTCAAGAGGAAGCAAACTTAAGGGAAGCCGAGTGCTCGCGTATTGCACGAGCACGTTTTTTTTTACGAACGAAGATAAGAATTCGCGTGCGTAATGAAACATGCTAGGTGAACAAATCTCAGTCAGCACACGTTCTTATATATTCTTATCACAAACGTCTTTTAAGTACGACTATTTACGTCGACGGGAATACTCAAGCAGACAAAATGCCCATAATGGAATGGACAGGATGGAACGAGAAGAACTCGTCATAATTCTTTCACTTTTCAATGCTTGAAAATATTTTCGACATCTGTCTTATCGGCTCTTATCGCGAAAGGAATTCGCGAAGTTATTACAAATAATTTATCGCTACGGCTGCGTTGTCCGTCGCATTACGATCAAAATTAGAATATTATAATCCGATTTGCATTCTATTTAAATCGGATCGCTTTCTCTTATGTATCGAATATGTTAATTATGGATACGAATTATGGATAAAAGATGAAATTCTTTGAATTCGTGCGTGAAATTTATAAATTTACAACTCCCCCGATTCAGAATGTTTTCAAATCGGAATCAGGACTGTTAAATTAAGGTTTCTCCTCTAATTTTAGCTTTCGCATTTTTAATTTTATTATTTATTATTCTTCTCAGGCGGAATCGTTCGCTTTTAACGAGAGATAACGAGAATATTGGTGACTCACCTGCGCCAAACTTGCCACCGCGAGGCCGAAGGTGAACGCGATGTGCAAGACGTTCGGCGGCTTCGTGTCTATCCACGTGATGCACGAAGCGCAGCCTAGGAGGACCAGCAGGAACGTGCCCAGGATCTCGGCGAACAGCATCACCAGAAAGTCGAGCTTGGTGACCTCCTCCAGGCCGACGAACTCCTTCATGCCTGCGAAAGAAAATCGGAGAGTCGAGCTCCAGCTGAGCGGATCCGATTCATTTCCCGGGGAACTTGATGGAAATTAATCTGCGTCTAACTTTCGTAACGCGTCTAATTTTCGCAATGGCACGACGGCGCGGTACAATCTACTTGTTTAAGAAAATTGACTTTCGTCCAATTTCACAACGCGCGCGCGCGTTTCTTGCGCTTTCTTGCACATTTATGGCGGGCGAGAGAGGAATAAGAGGAGACGAAATTAAGAGAGCGCAATTAGAAGCAGATTTATCCAGATTACAAGTGTGTAATGAAAAAATTTGTAGATTGTTAATTTAGATCGTAACCTGATTGTCTTATTGTAATTTATGTGCTTGTTATTTTATGAATTTACTGATTCAGATTGCAATTGTCCATTAAATTAATTTTGTAAATTTGAATTTATTTATAACTTCTCTGTTAATTTGCAGCCACGTTTGCTGACGTAAATTCTCGCGGCTGTGATTTCTTTAGTCAGAATTGGTTTAGTTTGATCTGCCTCGCAGCGTCAATTAACCATTAATTGCGAAAAGGGCTGATACGCTGCAATGAATAAATGCGAGAGGGAAACTATGTAATAAATTCTTATCGCACCCTTATCAATTAGATATCAAGAAACATGTGTCCGATTGTCTGTTGGAGTGCAGCGAAGTGGGATTACACAGTTGCGATTAAAAGGCGCGATTGAAAGGCGCCCGCGATAACGCGTTCGAAGTAACGTGTTTGATATTAATTGAAGACGAAAGTTGAGACACGTTTTCGACACGTTATCGCGAGGAATTTCCCGAAATGTCTATGAATGTCGGACTACTTTTAAGTAGGCCGAACATTGCAAAACGATATTCGTCCGCGAGCGATAATTCCGCAAACGTTAATCGCTAAACGTTAACGTACTTTTAAATACCCCATTAATTTACGGAGTATTTATATTTTAAATCTCGGTCTCACAACTTGCGGATTTTTTAATCTACTGCATACGTAATATTTTAATTACTTCATTTATTCAATTAATATCGAATATTTCAAGCAAATTTTCATTAATATTTAATTTTTTATTCTATTTATTTAATAAATAAACCGTATAATTTAATTTTAAATTATTACGTACTTCAAAAATAAAAAAAACACAAAAGTAAAATAAAATACTAAAAATATAATACTTAATATAATACTAAAAATATAATATTTAAATAATATAAAAATACGCAAATAGTGAGGGACTAATAACGTTGCGCCTCATCATTACATATCATCACAGATCTCATCTCTTTAATATAATAAAAAAAATTTACAGCTGCAGTTTCGCATTTATAATTTTAAAAAATTCTTTTTTTTTTAACTATTTTTTTCGAGACTTGTCATTTCGAACATTTAAGATGTTTAAAGTAAGAAAACTATACTTAAGCCACGAATGAAGACAACTAAATTTTCGTTCAGAAATGAACTTTAGATTAAAGAAAGCTCGCAGATGGCAAAAGATGATTCTTTCGTAACGCCTCATATATGTTTGTGTTTTGTGGATAGCAATGGATCGCGCACGCGGTTTGCCTGTGTAATTTACTACTAGTCGACAAACGACGCATATCTTGGTTTACATGCATCGTCATGGCGAACGCTACCTTGAGCCCCGTTCTTGCACGTAACATTATCATTGATCGGCTACTTCCTCTTTTTTATACGCCGTGGTCGAGATAAAAATCCAACCGTAAAGTCAATAAAAGGTTTTCTGATGCATGAACTTTTCCGCATCTTTAAGGCACACTTGAAACTGAGAAACTGGGATTTCATTCCCGAACTCATCGTTAATAAAATTTTGAGAGAGACGCGAATGTGTCTATGCAAAACTACATATATCACTTGCATTTTTTTTTGTTTACGTTTCACGTATCTGCAGCTTAGAAAATTTTTACTAATATCTCTTCGCGACATCAATCTGCGCTGTGCAAATAGTTTTCGATTATCTAACACCACTTATTGTTAGCAAAAAGTCCTATCTCTTCCTGATTAGATCTAATCTCATGTATGTCCTTTAAGAAAACAAAACACGTGCATATAAGATAAATCTCTCAGAACCAGACTGTACACTGAATAAAATTAAATAGTAATCGCGTTGTGCGACAAGTATAATCAATCAAGTCGATCTAGCGCATTCTCGTCTTTTCATTCCTCGGCACGACATTTCCTCGATACAAGAAATATTTAACATTTAATCACCACCGGTCATGTGAACACATTCTGAAGCTCGACCTTCTTCAGTCAGCCCCCACACATACCTTTCCACGGTTTGCTCATGATCGCTGCGATAAGAGATCGCTCCTTCGGTCACTCTCGCGCGGTTCACCACTTTGGAACTTCCCCTCAACTCTCCCTTAATGAAAACCGACGTTTCTCCACGGCGAGGGCGAGGTTCTCTGATGGTTCCTCTCGATGTTCTCCAGATGCGAATCTCCTCTTCGGCGACCTCCTCCTCGTGCGCGTGTATCTCTTCACCGACCCCTCGAACGGCGGCGGCGTGTTCGAGTTTTCGCACGACGTGTGGAAAGGGAAATTCGGCGAACACCCCAAGTGGCCGAGGAAGAAACACGAGAAAAGAGCGGTGGACCCGCACTTCCTACGCTACCCGCGAGTGGTGCACACCACGTGAGAGAGTTTCTGGGCGACGTGCGCGAGTTTCGCCTTCATATATCGCTTGCGTTCGCCAACCGGCGCGGCGGCGGCGGCGGCGGCGGCGGCGGTGGCACGGGGACGGTCCTCCCTCTCCGCGAGCGCGCGCGGGCGAGCGAGCGAGCGCCCACCCGCTTGCCCCCGCTTGTCGCCTCTTCCTTTGTGGCCCCCCAGCCGAGCGTGCAGTCGGCGTTTGCTCGAAGAGCTTATCGAGGAAGGAAAGGAAGAGGAGAAGCGCTTGCACAAGGGGTATTATATCAACGACGTCGATCCTCCGCCGATCCGTCAGGACGCCCGGTCTATCGCGTAATCGCCGCGCGTGCCCTTGACACGCGGCCGAGATTAAATTTCTACGCTCGGCCAACAATAAGTTACGACGTTAACGAAATTTTTTTTTTACGAAGTCAGTGCAACACTCCATATATGATTAAAGTTAAGTATGATTAATTATCGTTAAAGTGTATCAAATATAACAATTACTACATTTAGAATAAGTTAACGATGTTTCGAAATTAAAAGAATTTGTTTAATAAATTGTAAATTAAATATATGATTGAATTTTAATTGTAATATAATGTTAACTATTAGCATAATCTTAAGATTCCTTTCTCCTGTGAAGAAATTCCCAATTTCATCTTTACTAGGTACACATTTTTCTAATTACATAACATCTGCTGAACGCATTTTCACGTTGTCCTTTCGACATCGCATTGTCTGAACTGATTAAGTGAGACGCGATCTTTTTACGGCCGACTGCTGCCAACCGAAAATTGGCAAAAAACGGGAGAAGTATGCGTTTTTACAAACTTATTTATCTATAAGAACTGAGTTTTTGCATTGCCGGTTTACTTGACGCAAATTTCATTTAATGGGGAAGCCTGACATTCTCGGACAACGGCTTGAGGAAACGTGTAGATGTCCACTAACAAATACCACGCGTAAACATTTGGCGTGCGTGACGCACGTGCGTTACGCGTGATGAGGTAACGGCGTGTCCGCGTCGCGTCGCGTCGCCCATGGCATGCGCGCGCGTATGCAGTGCCATTCATGAATTCGCAAACTTGATTTGGCGGATAGATGACCTTTAACGGCCAACGGGTAACGGCGCACGTCACAATTTGCAATTTATATTCTTATATAATTCGCCGAAATTATGACTGCTAAGATCTATGGAAAACACGTTCGACGCAGCAACTTCCAGTCCGCTTCTACGTCAAATTCGACGATCTCGGGCGTCTTTTATTCATTTATTTGGGAGCCTGGTTCTTGTTTGTTTACCTATACTGACATCACTTTCGTGTAAAAAGACAGGTGAAACAATTCCAAGGATGCGCGCAGTCGTCACTTCGTTTCAACCAATCAGAAATTTGCTCGAAATGTTAAAAACCCATGTAGAGTTGCTATCAAAAATTTATCACCGATCAGAAATTTGCCCTAAATTTTATTCATCCGACATTATATGCACAATATATATTACCTGTCTTCTTATTCTTATACATGATCACTTTAGCGCATGCACGCGAGACAGACATTAGCCGACAATTTGAAGAACAAAAGCTAAAAGTGCCATTAAGAGAATAGAAAAGTGGAGCAAAGTAAATGAAAAGCTATCAAATAACGTATGTGCAAATTAGCATTAAGGCTGGCGGATTAGCGCGCGTTTAAATGTGCGATGAGATGCCATCAGGTGGTGGAGAAAAGTCGGCGCGCGGAGTCGAATAGCGGAAACCGCGGGGACTTTTTGTAAACCAGTTTTAATATCCGCGCGTCTTAAATCGCTGTAATATAAATTAATCGAGTCGATTTGTGCGTGCTGTATTTTAAAATGGGCTCTCGCTCGCGTTCGCGCGAATTTATAGACGGCACACACCGTGTGTCAGTGAACTGTCCAAGTCGGTTTCGGAGCGGCCCGCCGCCGCTCTCCTTCCTCGCTTTCGTTTTCGCCGCCGGATAAAGAGGTGCGCGCGCGCGCGCTTTTACGAGGCGCATTTTTAACGCGCCTCCGTTGAAAAATCGCCTCCCGCGTGGGCGTGGGCGAGGCGAGGCGATCTCTTTCGTTACAAAAATTCAATTCAACGTGACGTGCATTAAGTCAATAAGTCACACCGGTAACACCGGAGAACGGGTATAGAAACACCTGCGAACTGTTGAAGGCCTCGGCGCGCGCGCGCGAATTCGGAACGAAGAAAAAATAAACATACCGAGTGAACCGAAAGCCGGGCGGAACGTATGCGAAATTTTTGTCGCGTCTCGTTTCTTTTTTTATTTACGATATGAATACCCATTATAAGCTTCGAAATTTGTCGGAGAATATTTATAGCAAAATTCCATAAAAAATAAGAATCCTCGAGCTCTACACATTAAAAGAAATCTACTAAATCTACTAAGCAAATAAATATATGCAATAAATAATATTAAGTAAATATTAAATTATAAATAAATACAAATTTACTTTTATTTGTCAAATTTGTATAACTCACTGAATAAATTAATTCGATATATTGAGCTTGTAAATAAATATTAACTGACAATTACTTCGATTTCTACTCCCGAATTAATTTTTACCGACGCGACGAAACACCTTCTCTCTCTCCTTTCTCTTAAACTTTACGACCCTGCCGAAAATAAACGTTACGCACGGTCGCGCGTTTTTATATCACCGTTATCGGTGTTTATCAACGCTACCTGAGTTGACAGATAAACATTGCGCCGTCGAGGAGACTCTCGGTCCCCCTTCGGTCGTGGCGGCGCAACGGCAACAGATAGTAATTAAACGGGCATTAATTGGGTCATTACGCGGTGACAAAGCGACTCCGCGGTGAATAGCTTCCGCAATTATAGCGTCGCGCACTCGTCGTCGTCGTCGTCGCTGCTGCTCTCGTGCACGCGTTGCATTCGCTCGCGCCACTCGCGCAAGAATAATTATACGCCTGTGCAACTTTACGTACGTAACCCCGCGATAAATTCTCCACGTTCGCGCGCACGTTATACCTCTACAGCACATCGCGTGTGTGTTACATCTCGCTTCCCCCGGATTGTGACGGCGCTTGATGAAAATAGTTGCACGACATCGAGAGGACCGGGTAACATTCTGCTGCAGCGAATGAGTTTCATCTTACGTTTCTATTAATAGGAGTTTTCCACTAATGTAACAAGATGTGTAAAAATTTTCTTTCGATCGCTCCTTCAATTTTTTTTTTTAGTTCAATTGTAGATAAAAATACGCGTACAATATTTTGTGGCATTGTTACATAATGATCGGGGAATTATGTTATCATAATAACACGAAAGTGATAATAAAAATTGAATGAAACATTGAGTCACACCCCGTCAATCTGAAGATCGATCAGAGATATAATATGGCCCTAATGTTCCGTTTGAAAGCTCGCTGAAATTACTGTAAGAATCGACGAGGTGTGGCTCGAAATCTGAAGGATATTAAAGACATTATCAATTACCAAGCGATATCGTACCGTTGCGTTAACTGAAAAAGTTGTATCATTTAGACGAAATAATTTGACGCGAAATAATTACTGTATACGCAATCAGAGACACAATTATTCACGTATTGTTCAATTTTATAGAATTGTATTTCTTTTTATTCCTTAATTTACCGCTAATGTCATTAAAATTTTATTTTAATTTAAAATTACTATATTCTAACTAATATAAAAATAAGAATTTTAATAAAAATTTAAATGCAATTTAAATTTTAATTTTAATTTTAATTCAATATAGTTCCGTTAGGCATATTGCTTAATTATAAAAGAAAAAAATTGCGAAATTAAAATTATATTCAGTAAAAATTTTAGAGAAATATTTGATTATAAAAGATATACTTATAAAAAGTTAAATAATATGTCTAAATAAAATATATCATAATGAAATTATAAATTATAAATTTAAAAATATGTTAACTGCAAACCAGAAATTACAAATTTAAATAATCGAAAGATATGGGTTATTTTAATCACTCTAATAAAAGTAGTTCGGCTATATTTCTCTTTTGCTGGATATCTTTCCATAATTAGAGAATAATCATTTTTATTCAACCTATTTTGCGTATATAATTGGACAGGAACCGGTTATTCGAATACGCGTAGGTGGCAACGTAGAGAAATCGCGATTATACTATTGATGCATTTCTTCTAAGAATAGAAAATTTCCCATCTTGCTAACGAGCTTCTTTGGAAAATACTTGAACAGCAGTAATCTATATTGTGCATACGGATAATTGTGCGAAATTAGGCGAAGAATTAGATAGGTTCGTTGCGATAGCGCGAACGAAGGACGATTATGCACTCTTCTGGGAAACGGAAAAAACGCGCAGGATTATGCAATTCACGTTCGGGAATTCGCAGGGATCGCAGGAAAATTACGCCGTCGCGCCGCTTCAATGCAAGGCACGCCGTAACGCTTTAATGACAATGGCGGACGCATCATGCACGCATCGTGATCGAACAATCACTACAATGATCGTAGCATTGATTATTGTTGAGATGACACTGATTGCTCTCTGTTTAATTTTTTTCATCTTTCGCAACGACTTCTAATAATGGGACTAATAAATCACGTGCGCATTATTACACTCGCAATAAAAATCGCTTCAGAATTTGATTTCTTTTTCTTTCCGGAGATGCAACTATTTTTATCGCACGAGTGCAGTAATGCGATCCTTTCGAATCACCTTGTAATAGACGTTTCGGGAAAAG